TATATATATATATATATATATACACATATGATATTATGTATATATCATATTTTTCTGATTATAATACATGGTGTGGGTTAAATTTCCAGAATATATGGCACGATATAAAGTATCAAGTGACAATCATTCATAGCACCAATACTTAGAGAATCACTTGTGTTGTCCTAGACTTGCTCTACTGTTATGTTCATGCACACACAAAATTTTTGTTTGTTTTTCTTTGTTTTTACAAAAACTGTGACCTGTCAAACATAACTGTTTTGTAACTTTTCCTTAACTTAACGGTATGTTATAGACCTTTGTCCATATCAAGAAATACAGATCTACATCCTTTTAGTGGCATCTTGGAATCCTATTGTAGGATTTACCTCATTTACCTAATTTACCTCATTTTTCTAATATAGACTTTTAGGTATTTTCCCAGTTTTTTTGCTCCTTCTTTTTTTTTTTTTTTTTAAGAGGGAGAGTGAGAGAGCACCTGTGTGAGGGAGGAGAGGGGCAGAGGTAGAGAGAGAGAGAGAGAGTCCCAAACTCAGTGTGGAGCCTGATGTGGGTCTTGATCCCACAACCCTGGGATCATGACCTCAGCCAGAATCAAGAGGCGGACGCTCAACTGACTGAGCCACCCAGGCACACTGTCCCCCTTACTCCCTGCCAACCCAGTGTTTTGCTACTAAAACAGTCCTGCAATATACAGACTTATAGCTTGTATACTTCTGTGAGTATTTTTTTTCATTATTATTTATAAGGTTGATTCCTGGCAGTCAAATTGTTGATTCAAATGTTTTGTGCATTTTAAATATTGATATATGTTGCCAAAGCACTCCTCAAAATGGTTGAACATTTCCATCAAAACTGATGCTACTGTTTATTTTCCCACATCCTTACTCTCATGTAGCATTATCAACATTTTCTTGTTTATGACGATCTGAGACACAGTGATATATCATTGTTCTTGTGATTTATATTTCTTTGGTCTTTACTGAGGTCAAGTATGTTCTTTGTGTTTATTGACTTATTACATTTCCCCCCATAAACTGCCTGTTTATATACACTTGGCCCATTTTTACTGTTTCTGATTGATTTGTTTGAGCCCTTTATAAATTAAAGGCATTAGCTCTTTGTCAAGTACTATGCAAATATTTCCCTGAGTTTGTCATCTGTCTTTCTTTTATGCTCAGTTTTCAGGCAGAAGCGTTTCATCCTTATTGAATCAAATTTGTCCATCTTTTTCTTTTTTGGCATCTCAGTTTCATGATTCACACCTAAAGCCTATTAAAGATAATTAAAGGAAAAAATGCACGTATGTTTGCTCTTACTGTTTCTGTAGTTTAACTGTTTGCTTGTTTTTTTCTGCGTTTAGATTTCTGGTGCATCTGGAGTTAATTAGGATGTAAGAAAAAAAAAAAAAAAAA